TACCAAGCGCCTCATCTGAAGTAGCATTATGAAGGGAGGGAAACCCAAACTGATAAGGAGCTAGTTTTGATGCAAGGGGTTCATCTTGTCTCAGGCCTTGTTTACACTAACCTCCTCCCCACCCCTCACATTGGTACAACCTTCACAACTTCAGCAATGCAAAGAGTGTACCTGAAGTTGACGTGCTTACCACAGTGTCTTCTGTGTGATAAAGTTGGCGGGGGGTGCTCAGAGATGGATTGACCATGCTTAAGCAGACACACCAAATTGACTGCTGGTCGATTGTTCATTGTAACATCAATTTACTGTGCAGTAAGACAAGCCCAGAGAAACAGACTGGATTCTAAATTAAATGACTTTATGCCAGGTAGTCCAGACAGATGGAGGGAGTGCATTACTACAGGTACATTTTCCTGTTAGGGACCCAGTGCTGCTCTCATTGAAGTCAATAGTGAAACTTACTGCCTTTGACTTCCATAAGCATACCCTCAAGCTGTTTGTGCTTTTGCACTGAGCAGTATCTGGCTGTAATGAACAGGAATTCAGAAGTATGCACTGTAAAGAGTTTATGAGCCTGTTAGTGGCCCTCCCTATGTTTTGGAAGCTCTCCAAACTCTGCCAGAGAAGCACATACATATCTAGGCCTTTCATGTTGTATATAATTTATAAACATGGTGTGATGAATGGGAGGGATACTACCCTTTTCTGGACATCCCAGCTATTCAGTTAACTAAATTTCCTGTAAGGATTAAACCCAGAATCAGTGGGTCCTTGGGTATGTCTACACCGAAGGGTTTTTTTTGTATTTGGTTGGTGGGAGCATACTATCTTATGTCAAGGATGAAGGATGAAGTTTAAAAAGGACAAATGCAAAGTACTCCACTTAGTCAGGAACAATCAGTCTCACACATACAGAATGGGAAGCGACTGTCTAGGAAGGAGTACGGCAGAAAAGGATCTAGAGGTCATAGTGAACCACAAGCTAAATATGAGTCAACAGTGTAATGTATCAGAGGGGTAGCCGTGTTAGTCTGAATCTGCAAAAGCAGTGAGGAGTCCTGTGGCACCTTATAGACTAACTGAAGTGTAGGAGCATAAGCTTTCGTGGGCAAAGACCCACTTCGTCAGCTGCATGTAGTGGAAATTTCCAGAGGCAGGTATAAATATATAAATTTATCCCTGCCTCTGGAAATTTCCACTACATGCATCTGACGAAGTAAGTCTTTGCCCACGAAAGCTTATGCTCCAACACTTCAGTTAGTCTATAAGGTGCCACAGGACTCCTCGCCACTTTTGCAGATCCAGGTGCCACAGGACTCCTCGCCGCTTTAACAGTGTAATGTTGTTGCAAAAAAAAGCAAACATGATTCTGGCATGCATTAACAGGAGTATTGTGAGCAAGACACGAGAAGTCATTCTTCAGCTCTACTCAGTGCTGATTAGGCCTCAGTTGGAGTATTGTGTCCAGTTCTGGGCACCACATTTCAAGAAAGATGTGGAGAAATTGGAGAAGGTCTAAAGAAGAGCAACAAGAATGATTAAAGGTCTAGACACGAACATGACCTATGAAGGAAGATTGAAAGAACTGGGCTTGTTTAGCTTGAAAAGGAGAAGCCTGAGAGGGGATATGATAGCGGTTTTCAGGTATCTAAAAGGGAGGAGAGAAAAGGAGGGAGAAAAGTTATTCTCCTTAGCCTCTAAAGATAGGACAAGAAGCAATGGGCTTAAACTGCAGCAAGGGAGGTTTAGGTTGGACATTAGGAAAAACTTCCTAACTGTCAGGGTGGTTAAACACTGGAATAAGTTGCTTAGGGAAATTGTGGAATCTCCATATCTGGAGATATTTAAGAGCAGGTTAGATAGACCTCTATCAGGGATGGTCTAGATGGTACCGGGTCCTGCCATGAGGGCAGGGGACTGGACGTGATGATCTCTCAAGGTCCCTTCCAGTTTTAGTGTTCTATGATTCTAAGGAATCTGTGATTTTGGGGAGTTTTTAAGCAGAAGTCTTTAGTGACAGGATATTTTAAAGTCTCTTGCAGACCCCCACCTTCTGCACTCAAAGTGCCAGAGTGGGGAACGGCCTTGACACATGGTTATTTGGATCCCCTTGTATCCAGGTAATGATGTTTGTTGGATAAAGAGGAAAATACACAACATTAATGCTGATCCTTGTTGCAATGTCTGACATACTTTCTTTGGCGGATATCAAGCCCATCACAGAACTTATATGTGACCAGAGCTGACTGTGGTACAGGCAATTTTGTTTTACTTTAAAACATTGAACAGTTTTCGTGTTTTAGAACTTAAAAAGTATTTTAGAGAATGCATATTATTCAAACAAACAAACAAACAAAAACCCAGCCCAAACCTTAAGACGTCTCTCACCCTATTGGACAGCCTGAAGTCTCCAGATAAGTAGAGTGTTAAAAAATGCAAGGAACTTTGAGACCGACTGAGGCCTTAAAGTGAAGTTCAACTTGAAGGTCTGATACCAGATACACACCTGTGCCCCTCACTTGGCCTAGACATTACAAACCTGATCTTTATTTTCTGAACTAAGTTTTATGTTAGCATAAATGTGTGAAATGTCCTGTTCACTTGGTTAACTGGGACATTCAGCACATATTTCTAAAGCGGTTGGATTTCCCCCCACTGTGATCTATTTACAGTTCTCTTTTATGCACAAAAAACATTTTCTGTAACCTCAGTTTCCTGATTCAGCAGATGTGATGTCAATTATTTACGATAACAAAAGTGAGACAATGCCTGAGGTTTGTGTGGGATGGAGGTAAATTTGAATCTGTAAAGAGGGACAGTGCTAGTAATGAGACACAGTGGAAAGGCCTACAAAGTAGCTCTTGCTGGCCATGTCTACTAGGGATGTTAAATATCAGTTAATTGAATAGTCGATTAACCTCATGAATTCTTATAGATTACTCAACTATTCTATAGTCCCCGGGGGTGGGGCTGGCAGCCAGTTCGCTCTGGCTCCACTCCTGAGGAGCCTCCTGACACTCTGCACTGCTGCCTCTGGATCAGAGGCAGCAGCGTGGGGTACCAGCTGGGAGCTGATCCGCAAGGGGAGCCAGTTTAAAAAACAGCTACCCTTGCAGACTGGCTCCTGTTGCCTAGCACTGCTGCCTCTGATGCAGAGGCAGCAGTGCCTGCCCAGAGGGTGAGGTCTGAGTTCTCAGACCCTGGTGCGAGTGAGAACTGAGCTGGGCTGTCTGTCCTCCTGGCTACTAATACACTTTAAATGCAGAGCCACAGCATTTAAAGTGTAAAGGTAGATCCCAGACCCAGCACGAGCCAAGACTGAGCCAGGATGCTGGCCAGCCTGCTAAAAAATGTACCTCAACTTAGAGCCCCAGGAAGCACTGGGGAGTAATTAGTTCAAAATAGCAGCACCGGAGCATCCACGCTACCGTTATTTCGAAATAACTATTTTGGAATTAGCGTTACTCCTGACGAAAAGCAGTACAGATTTTTAATTAAGTGGCCCATTATTTCAAAAAACGGGCTTGGTAGTGTGGACGCTCCGCTTATAAATTCAACTGTAGGGGTGTTATTTTGAAATAAAGTCCTACTGCAGACCAGGGCTGGGAGGAGAGTCCGAGTGACCACCTCATAAGGTTGGGCCTGATCCTACTAGATGCTCAACAGCCCTTTGATGCAGCGTGCCTACACTTCCCACTCATGGCACCTTCCAGTGGCTCCTCAGTATGTTGCAAAATCAAACCCCATTGTGCATGGGACAATCCTGACTATCCCTTATGTCCCAATATTCCTTAAACATTTTGTCCAGGAAAGCAGTAGCCTTCCCATGAGGACAAATCCTAGGAAAAAAGTTGGCCATCTAGTGATGTGTTAGAGCAGTGGTGCACAACCCGTGAGTTGTGACTCTTTTGGGGGTCGCAGCTGTCTTCCTGGGGGGGTCGCAGCATTTTGATCTGTGCTGGCCGGTATTTTCTTTTCCCAGCTCGGTGCCTGATGTACACGCGGTGGGGGTGGAGGGAGTGGCAGGGGAGCAGAATGGTGCTTTAAATTAAAAGGGCTGCATCAAATGTTTCCTGCAAATTTTTTTTTTTTTTTGCTCAACAAAAATTTTCCCAGATCCGGGGGTCGTGAATGAAAAAAGGTTAAGCACCACTTTCTTAGAGGGGAATTATAGAGCATAGTTCTGTTTATATTAGCTCAAGCTATTGTACTGATTATTGTTTATATTGGTAGGTAAGTACTTCTGGGTTAAGTGTCACAGAGGCTGCCAGTTGTTCCTTTTGGTCAGATAACAGAGAGGTGCCAACTATAGAATTTGGAGATGAATGTTCCTCGCTTACCCGTCTCCCCCATAGTGAAGGCATTACTTCAATAATTACAAGCCATTTTGTGCTTTTTCCTGGTCAGTTAATGACTGGAAAAAGGAGTTAAGGGTCTGAGACAAAGTCATGGACTCTTAAAAAGCTGTCCAGTCACTAATTGACTTGTGGAAACTGCAGAATGGATCATTAACATAATCATGAAACCTTTTATTTCAGACAGTCTAACTTTGCTGCACTTCTGATGGGGCTTCCTTCTCTCTGGGCCAATTTAGAACATTTGTTTCTCGCCATTCAAAGGCCCACTGACTACTCCATGAGGGCAAGTTCTATTTCAAAGAGTTTAATCTTAAAACTAATTGGGAGCAGGTAGAGCTGGGGACGGGGAGGCAGGACTCCAGCATCTGACCCTACTTCTCCCACCGTTTACTTGCTGTGTGATCCAGACCAAGCAACGCTACACCTCTGCTTACCTACCTATATAACTGGCTTCAATAATACTTACCAGCCATCACAATGGAAGTTGTGAAGCTTACAAGAGGCTTGTGCTTTTTGTAAGATTATAAAAGTCCAAAGGACAGGTTATTGTTAAGAGTACTGCATGGTTTGTTTAGTTACTGTGTGGCAGACTCTGAATGATGGTCATGAGCTTGTGCGTTGCCCAGAGAACATCACACTTACCTGCTATCCTTCCAATTGGCATTGCATGCTCCTCAGGAGGGGAGACGGACACCATGATGTGGTTCATGTATGCTAGCTCTTCCCGGTGGGACAGATTGATGGGCTTTACTTCCCTGTGTAGCCCATCCTCAGACAACCGCGATGGTTTGAATTCTACCGAATGCCTGGGGTTCAATATCAAAGGGTGCATGATGGGGCTGGGCATCAGCTGGATGACCCTGGTGTTCTCCTGGCGAGGGCTGGAAGGCTTCTGAAGTACTTCTGGAGGAGGCGGGCAGTGGTTATTCTCTATAGGAGACACTGAAAGTGGATAGGACTCTTGGTGGTTGTTCTCTTGGTGATGCCGTGTCCCTGGGACCCTATCAGCTGGGGAGAGGCGGCGGACAGTGTTGTCCAATGGGGACTTCAGCGACCGCTGCTCAGGGTCTGGTGACGGCCGGTGATTGGTGGTGATAGGTGATCTAGGGCGATGCAACAGTTCAATGGTGGGGGTGTTGTGATGGACTGTCTCTGCTGATGGTCTTGAAGGTCTCTGGATGAAGTTGTCTGAGGAGAAAAGGTGAAAAACACATTATGACTAGTGTGACTGAGCCACAGAACCTAACTCAAACTGGAAAATCTGCCCTCACACACCTTATTGGACTCAATACAGGAGTAATGGAGTGAAATTGAATGGCCTGAGATATACAGGTGGGCAAACTAGAGGTAGTACCTTCTGGACTACAGTTCTGTGAATCCACAATCTCACTAGTACATTTTAACATGGTCTTCATTACATCTGAGGGGGGGAAGTGTTGTCTAAGATTTTGTCTACACTATGCAGCGTGTAGCCACTGTTTGATGGCTCTTTTACTGTCAAAATACTTCCATCCCCAGTGAGTGGTGTTCATGCTGTGGGCAGGAGAGGGCTCCTGCTTACAATGCACGGCTCACACTGGCATTTGCTGCGAGGAAATTTTTGTCGTTCCAGAGTTGGGGGTGTGTTTAACATCTCTGAACAACAAAAGTTTTGTTGTTCAATTGCCAATGTAGACATAGCCTAAAAAAATAGGAAGCTGCTGATTAGGTCATCTGAGCAGCATCTTGTGCCATTGGACAAGTGGTCTATACGCCCAGAACCCCTCACCAATAAAAAGAAGTCTGATGGCTGTTTGCATGGGATTTTAAGATCCCTCGATGAAAGGTGCAACATAAGAGCGAGTTATTATTCACTTTCTTTTGCGCTGCCTTCAAAACGAAATGCAAATAAATAAGCCAACATACCCTGGCTTTTCAACAACAATTTAATAGTGTAGACTTTAAAGCCACAGATGTGGGAGACACTCCATGCATAGAAGAAAATATAGAGTGACAAGAGAAACGTCATATGTGGTTATACCCTGGTTAGATCACAAGTGCATCCCACAGCCTAACACTGCACTGGCAGGAAGTTTTTCCTATACTCAGCCTAAATTTTACCTCATCACCCTCAATAAAATCCTCTAGGACAGTCTCCACCAAGATTTTTTTCTTGTCGGCTCATTCCGCATGAAAACCTTTAGAGTGTCTGATGCTGGGGGAAAAAAACAGTATGTCCTTTTTGAGTGAGTCTTCTGACATTAGCAGTGTCTTTTAAACATAAGGGCTGTGTCTACACTGGCATGAATTTCCGGAAATGCTTAAAACAGAATAGTTTTCGTTATAAGTATTTCCGGAAAAAGAGCGTCTACACTGGCAGGCTGCTTTTCCGGAAAAGCCCTTTTCCCGGAAAAGTGTCCATGGCCAATGTAGAAGCGCTTTTCCGGAAAAGAGCCCCAATCATCATTTCCGTGATCGGGGCTTTTTTCCGGAAAAGACTACTGGGCTGTCTACACTGGTCCTTTTCCAGAACAGTGTTCCGGAATAAAGACTTATGCCCGAGTGGGAGCAGAATAGTTTTTCCGGAATAGCGGCTGATTTTGTACAGTTCAACGTCGTTGCTTTTCCGGAAATTCAAGGGCCAGTGTAGACAGCTCGTAGCTTATTCCGGAAAAGCAGCTGATTTTCCGGAATAAGTGGCCCAGTGTAGACACAGCCAAGGAGAGCTCAGAAAGCATGGACACCATCTGCGAGGGTTATTACCATCCACAAACCAAAACGCTTATTTCAGCTGACAGAAAATGAACTGATTTTGGCTGATGAAGGCCATAGTTTTCGGAGTAGAAAGCTACCACCAGAGAGCAAACACAGTGGGTGAGGTCACATCTTTTACTGGACCAGCTTCTGTTGGTGGGAGAGACAAGTGTTCACATTTACACAGAGCTCCTTGTCTCTCAGCCACAGACGTGGGTCCAATAAAAGATGTTACCTCACCCACCTTGTCTCACTGACATCCTGGGACCAACACAGCTACAACAGCCCTGCATACAACAGAGAGCAAAGGCTAACAGGTTTTTATCTAGAAAAACAAAGATCAAATTTCAGCCCTGTTTGCCAATAGCCTCAGGAGATAAGAGCAGGAAACTGTTAGGCATATATCAACAACCAAAACAAGTAAATGGGACTGTCATATTTGTTGACTCACTTGCTCTGCTCCTTTAAGAAGAATTGTCCTCTGTGCTCTGTCCTGTCAATGGAGCACTACCCTTTGAAGCTTCTATTCAGGCAGAAAGGAATCTAAGGGCTCCCTGCCTACCCTGGAATCCACACCCGCTGCAGCAGAAGGATCAGCATGAACTCCAGCAAAAGCTGAAACATACAATGCCCTGTTGCTGGGAAGATGCAGTTCCTCTCAGCACTGGCTCAGTGATTTTAAAGTGACCCCTCTGCCCCCCCTTCCTTCCCCACCAATGGGCACCTGCATGATTTGCCAACAGTCAGTTTCTTTGTGAAGACCTAGAACAAAACTAGGCCTGCCTGAAGTTTATGATTCTCACACCTGAGGACAGGAACAAGAACAATGTATTTGTGTCACTAGTGAGGTCAGTCGCCACGTAATGGCAGGAGGAAATGAAACTTCCAGATCTGAGCTATGCTTTGACTGCACTGGATGAAAAACAACATGTTTAATAACGGGGCTTCAAAATGAACTTAAAGTACCTTGTGGCCAAAGATAGCTTCTCAGTTTGGCCAACTGACATGGAACGGTTCAAACCATGTTAGAACATGAATCAAAACCAGCCTTGTCTACGATCCTGCCTAGTAACTGCAGTTAATGGTGCTTAAGGAAGGCTCTCCAGCCATCATAGATGGGACCTAACATTCATTAATCACCATCAATGTTCCCTCTAATGTTTTTCCCCACCTGTGTGTGGAATAAATTTTGTTATGTGCACCCAGGCACATTCAGGTGTGCAACACCAATGGAAACGCATGGTACTGGCTGGGGGCGCTGAGCTAATCAGCTGGATGGTGATGGAATCTCTCCTGGATGGCCACCCAAGCACTCAGCTTACAGGAAACACTGATCACCACACAAAGAAAACCCATTTAATTATGACTGCTTCCCACCCCCATCCCCGGCCCAGCCCTAGTTATATACAGTGCCCTATTTTCTACTGGCTGTCTAACTAAACACTACACATTCAAATGCATTATGCTCATTTTTGCACTATGTGAGTCAAGAGAAATGAGGGTATGCCTACATTACCCTCCTAGTTCGAACTAGGAGGGTAGTGTAGACATACCCTGAGAGGGCAACCAGGGACATTGCATGGAGTTGACCCTGACACCTAGTAGTCGTGCTATGCTTCTGTATGGGAACTAAGTCTCTACTGTGCTGGAGCAGGGCTGCACTCAGCCAGGCGCAGGAAGGAATGCCTTACACTGCTCTCCACTGGAGCATCCGATGGAAACATTATGCAGCATTGACTGGCTGCAGAGAGGGGCCCGTTCCTTCCCCTCCTTTGCCAGGGGAGGGGATGCTGCAATAAGGATCCATTAGTGAGGGGTGGAGTACAGAGGAGAAGAACAATGAATCTCAGAACACTCTCGCTCAACTCCTCTGTCAAACTCAGCAGGACTAAAAACGGGCTCACTTTGACTCTCAGTTCTCTGCATCATCCTCTTACTTTGGCAACCGATGCAGTTAAAACACACTAATGTTTCACACCAACTCTGGGTAGACAGCGCCAAATATCAACATAAGTCACTATTCCAACAAATCTCTTAACCCTCGTGGAATGAGGGTTACAGGGATGCCGGAATAGCGCGCCCGCTCGTTCAGAAAATAGCAGGAGCATTTAAAGACGTGGCGTTGCTATTTCGGGATACTTCTGGTATCCCAAAAAATAACACTGCAGTCTAGACACACCCTTAGCTACACCAGCCTCAGAGAATTTGCCCAAGGGAATTGAGTACTAAAGTACAAAATGTTCAAATTTTTGGGAGTGTTCCCAGTATGTTCTTCACCACACATATTTCACAAAGGGTTCACCTAGTCCATTCCCATTTTCCATTAAAAAAGCAAAAAACCCTTGTTTGTTGGGCTCATGAAAGAGAGAGATTAATAACAGTCTCTGCCTAAAGCCATGTACACTGGGCAAAAACTCTACACATTTCCCCTTGTCAGCTCTGCCAGTGCAACCTACTCTGTCCTGACTTGTATCACCGTCTAGTTATTCTAGTGCTGACATCCTCACACACTTTTGCCAATGCCCTTCAACCCCATTCTACTTCACACCTTGTTTGAATTCTGCAAATTGTGCACTTTTAGGATGAGCGGGAACTAGAGTGAAATCCAAATTGTTTTTCATTTATGATTAAGGATGGGAGATACAGAGAAGGACTAGTTGACAATTTTCCATCATTAACAAACTTTTTGGGGTGGAAAATTGGGTTTTTAGCTAAACACAAATTCTCCTGAAAAGTATGTTTTCTACAAAAAAACAAAAACAAAAGCAACTTTTTGTCAGGGAAACAAAAGCCTGTAATCTGGAAAACTCCATAAAAAGAAAAAAAAAGGTTCATATAGTATCTGACCAGCTCTAATTAGGAGTAAAAGTGTCAATCTCTGCCATGCTGTAAAAGCAAATCACCCATTCTAAAAAAACACCATTTGTTATGCATCATGGGAAGATACCTCCAAATAGACTGGTGAATTTGTCTAAATTACCTCCATATTTTATCACAATTCTAAACTAAATAAATTCCAGTGACAGTTATAAGAATGTTTCTTTCACCTCCTCATTAATGCATGTGTTTATCTTATCTAGTGTTGAGTATGTGTTGGAATTTCAATTCAATCTCAGAAGTTAGCATTTCCCCCCAAAAAAGACACTAGTGCTTATTATAGGCCTCTTTGGTCCCGCCACTATCTAAGATTTAAGCTCAGGATAGCTTAAATCTTAGCTATTAATTATTTATGAATAGCTATTAATTATTTATCATTATTTATTTATTTGTTAATTTATAAATTGGGCTTAATGACCAAGACATATGGTGCCGGTGCAATTGCAAAAATTGAGCAAAAAAAAAAAAAGGGTGTGTGTGTGTGTGTGTGTCTGACACCATGTCATGCATGTCTAAAGTCTCTAGATCCACTAGAGAAAATGAATTCCAAGGTCAAAATCCCCAGATCCCAATTTACAGCTAGCAGATCACAAGTGCAGCAAGAGTACATGAAGAGGGAAGAGAGTTTTCCTTTTCTCAGAAAAGTAAGACTTAGGCAAGGAAAGTTATGTGCTATACCTACCTGGTATATTTTTTAAACAGGCTTTGAAGCAGAAAATAAATGGACATTTACACAACCAAAAGACTAAAATATAATGTAGTGTACTAAGAATTTGAAGTCAATCGGCTCGATAGATCAGCTGTACATTCTACCAACTGAAGGATTGCTCCACTTCTGAAGGGAGAGAGATTGCTTTAAATGAAATTTTTATTGGTTTAGACTAGAGTAAGAAAATAACGTCCTGACTCCTCCTTATGGTCTCATTCAAACTGCTGATGTAATGACACCGCCAGTAATAAAACACACATTATTACCTTCATCATGGTTCTGGTGTAACATGACCTCTGACTGAGCATGGATAGAGTTCCCAGGGTGGAAGAAAGGCGAAAATAGCATGCGAGCTTTCCTTTGTTTCAGGATATGCTGAAGGAGTTCATATAGCACATCACCTGAAAGACAAAGAGACGGCTAAAGGAAATGAAAAGCTACAGATTCTTGGGGGAAGACTCATTTCGACATTGGAAACATGAATCCAAAGCTCTTGGGTACCATTTTCAGATCCAAAAGTGCCTCCAGGAGGAATGATTCAGTGCCTGCCACATCTTTCTCACTCTTGAGTAAGACTCCTTCTTTATAGTCCAAACATTGTGCATGTCATATGGCAACAGCAGTGAAAAATGTTGTTCTCATTCTAATATCACGGCATAAGAATAATTTCTAGCACTGCTAGAATTCTCAGGTAACAATATGGTGGCCTTATAGAAACATATTTTAGAGTTGCCAAAAGACAGATTGTTTATATGGTGATTAATTTAGTGTGAGGCTATTTAATCTTTAGTGACCATCTTACCTCCAACTGTATGTAGGTACATGAGGGCTACAGTAGAGGTGCTTTTTATCTTTTATAACAGGTGACAAGCAGTTGAGTAGAAAGAGTTAACCAAAGCACAAAATGCAGGTGACTCAAAAGTTCCCTAGGGGTATGTGGTTAATCTTAATAATACTACATGCAGCCCTTTGCCTGTGTCCTGCCCCCACATGCAGAAGTCAACAAATTTTCAGCTATGGTACTTTGCCTGAAATGTTAACTAATTTTCATAGGTGCTTGAATTGTCTTAATTAAAGTGGCATTTGGGAGACCTTGGAGTTTCTATTATTACTATTTTTCTTTCTGTATAACACCTATAAATCCATTTCATATTCATTACTTGCCTCAGTACAAGCTTCTACCTGTCGGTCAAAGATTCTAAATCTTTTTTGTTTATATCCTAGCTATTTCATCCTAAATTATTCTCATTTGCATAGTCTGACTTTTTGCTCTATGTCTGTGTCTTGGCTGCTTTTATTATCTCAGGGCTGACTTTGGGGCACTTTTAAAGATGTCTGTAAAGCCTGAAAAATTAATTAAAAACAAAGCCTCAAGAATCCTTTCACCTTTTCCATATTTAATACATAATAAGAGACCAGAGAGGGATTTTACCACATAATTTGTATTTTACAGACCAAGATAGAGACACACACATACATTGTGCCAGGTCACTCCAGAAGAATACGCTGGTCATCCTTTAAAAATTCCCCATCTTTGCCTGAGGCCTAGTCTACATATAGCCTTTGGATCAATATAAGGATTTCATGAGGGATGTGATTTCCTACAAAATGGTATAATCCCTGTGTGAATATATTTGTTATACAGTACTGGTATAATCCTGTCTATCCTAGTATAGCTATTCCCATTAGAGAAGGGGGATATGTTATACTGGTATAAGCACTTTGAGGCTGCTATAATTGTATCTACACAAGATGCTATAAAGGTAAAACTGTTTTGGTTAAAAAAAAATCATGTCACTCAGACTATGTCTAGACTGCAGGCTTCTTTTAGAAGAAGCTTTTCTGAAAGAGATCTTCTGAAAAAACTTCTTCCAAAAGAGAGCATCCACACTGCCAAAGCTCATCAAAAAAGCAATCTGCTTTTGTGAAAGATAGGTTCCACACTGAATGGACGTTATATCGCATTGAAGCTGTGATTACTATGGACAGAGTGGTCACCAGGGCACCTGTACTTTTTTGTCTTTCCTCTTCTTTTGAAAGAACTCCCTCTTCCTCATCCATACATCCCTTTTTCCAAAAGAGCTCTTCGGAAAAAGGCTTCTTCCTCGTAGAAAGAGGATTACCAATGTGGAAAAAACCCCTCAGTTCTTTTGATTTTCTTTTGAAAGAACATGATTACACTGTGGACATAAGTGAAGTTTTTTTTGGAAAAGCGGCTGTTTTTCGTAAAAAAATTCTGTAGTGTACACATAGCTTCACTGAAATACCCTTACTTGTAGAGTTTTGAATGTATACAAGCCCCTTGATAACTAAATTACATTAGGGTAGAAATAGAATAATTTCCCTATACTTCAAATATAGGAATATCTGAGAAATACTTTAAATACTGAAATGATGTTTATTTCATTATCCATAGTAACCTACACACTCCTGTTCCTGTTATTGCTGCATAGGACATAGATTTAGGAGGCTTGAATGGCATGTTTTCTCAAAAGTTTGTCAACAGCTACAATACAAAAATTAGAATATAATTTTAAATTGGGTTCATAGCTCAATAGACAAGAAAGCCAAACCTCACATTCAGCAAAGGCTGAGCACCAGTCCCAGTGTAGGACGTGACTTCTAGAGCCCAGGACCCTCCTCTGTGAATGCTCAGTCCCCAGATGCTTAAATCCAGCTGATCTTGAGTGCAGTAACAGTACATGCAAGGACAAGAGAGGTGTCCCTCCTAGGCAGTTGGAGTTGGGGTAATGGAAGGCTAGTTACATGGAGCATATTGGATGCTACATACAAAACACCAGAAAAGTTCTCCTGCTCCAGTTTTATTTATTTATTTCTTAAGCCATCAATGGGACTTAAGCCCCTGTTTAAGTGTTTTGTTGATTCGGGTCCTATATGTAAAAAAGGATAAGGATGCTAGTAGGTGGAGGTGCCTTTGGGGAGTTAGCTTCATTCTGAACTACTCCACATTTTGATTGGCTAGGGCAACACCATCTGTATTCCTGTGTCTTTGTATTGGATGTCTGATAGCAGCTATTTTCCAGGCACTCAGCTCAAGCTGCATGATCATCTCTGGTAGCTGATTGAATTACAAGCCTTTTTATTTAGCAGGGGTAAATAACGTAGTTAGAACCATTCATTCAAACAACATGTAGTTAGAACCATTCATTCACATTTAGTCTCACAGGAGAGGGAGGAGGTTCAGTGTGATTTCAATGCTGCAGGGGACAGACTGCAGGGAATATAAATATAGGCAGGTGACACACATGCTTCTACATCTAAATCTTCCCTCTGAATAGACTAAATAATTTGGCAACAGGCGGATTGATTCACACACCTGCCTGTGCTTTGCCTGGGGCTAAACTCCGGCAAGTGAGAGAATAGGGGCAGAGTAATGGGAAGCCCACGGGAGCTGTAAAAATAGAGGAAAGGTCCCAAGGGATGAGTTTTGCTGAAGCTTTTAGCAGCACAATCAGATGAGTGAACTGTGAGGCTGAATGCTAATGCGGGCTTCTTAAGAGACTGGCGCAGTTGAATAACTCCCTGCTCTAGCTGGGTCTGTGGAATGATAAGGACAAAGCTGGAGGTCCTAAATGGTTGCCAGGTAGTCTGTTTCTGGCTTTTGCAGAGGGTTTTAGCTAGAGATGGGCCAGGCACTCACAGCTGGGCTCTATACTCGCACAAAGTGCAAGGGTGTTAGGATTGCTCTCCCCTCCCCCTTTCTTATGTTGTTGGATGCTTCACTCTCTTGCTGGCCTAGTCTACATGGCTGGCCTCGTCTCTCCCTTCCAGCCCCAAGGACTGTGGCTCTTTTATCTCTGCAACTCATCTTTCCTGGCTCTCTTCCTCCCTCCTTTCCCAGAGTCCGTTTCTTCTGTCTCTTCCCAGGCCCCCATGTAGCTCTGTCTTTCCTTATGTAGATAAACCTCACCTGAATGAGGAGACCTGTATCGAAAGTCCTCTTTGGTCAGGAGCAAGAGTGCTTTTCCATTCATCTCAAAAGTGTTGCTGTCAATCGGCCTCAGGGAAAACTCCTTCTCTGCCCATTTCAGCCACTGGGCCACATCATCCCTGCTCCAATAAACTGGCTGCAAGCCTGTGGGAGACAAAACCACAGTGGTCATGTTAAGAAACTGGAACAAAGAGCAAGCGGTTCTGGGAAAGGACTTGTGGATCATGAGCTGCATTTGGAGGCACGTCTTGAGATTGGCCTGGGGGAGCTATACAAAGTGATGTTTGCGCCCCAACACCTTACTGTAAAAAGCTCTATTAATCAGCAGGTGTCTGCCTCTTTACCAAACAAGACACACAACCACAGTTTTCAACTGGCGGATGGATAGAGATTGTGGTCACGGGAAGTGAACTCTGCTCTGCTGGTTCGCCAGATTCAGATATACAGTTTTTGTACCAGTATGTAGTTGTGTATGTGTGATGTTTAAGAATACTCGGGTCCTTCAGGGCAGAAGTTAGGACAGGGGCTTGGAGATGTGTGTGGGGAGGTGAGGGAGTCAGGGTTGGAGGAGAGGAGGGGCTCAAAGCATCCAGAGGAGTTTAGTTTCATCCAGGGTACGTCTACACTGCGGCACTATTTCATGTCTTGACAACACGCCTGTTATTTTGAAATGTCTTTCGAAATAATGAGCACGCTATTCTGACGTCCCTGTAAAACTCATTCCACAAGGAATAAGGGACATTTTGGAACAGTGGTTTATTTCAAAATTTGGTTTTATTACAAAATAAGCTATTTTGAAATACACTCAAAATAATCTACACAATTTGCATAGCTCAAACGCACTTCCATTTGATGTGAAACAATCACATTTGATGCACATCCCATTATTCTGGCACAACCAAACCTGATGTTGCTTTAAGTTATGATCACAGGAAGCTGCCTACTACATTTGGTAGCCCTCGCTCTTACCATCTTGAAGGTATTCTTGAATAAGCTGACAGACAGACAGACAGACGGACAGATGCACATTTCTAAAACATATACAGCCTCTCCACAAGTTACATCTGTACAACGACTTTATTTCAAAATAGCTAGTGTTATTTTGAAATAACTTAGTCCGTGTCTACACAGCAGGCAGTTATTTCGAAATAATGACGAAATACCGTGAAGCTGGAGGATGTCTAACTCTGACTCCTGTTACCCTCATTTTACAAAGAGTATGGAAATTCAAAGGGAGAGTGTTCTATTTCAAAATAAGTGCTGTGTAGACTCTCCCAATTTCTAAATAAACTATGTCAATATAAGCTTCGCAATTGACTTAGCTTAATTTGCATTGCTAATTTTGAGTTAAACTCTGCTGTGTAGACATACCCTAAGAATGGGCTTGTAATGGAATCACTGAGTCTTAAATACAATAATATTAATGGGGCACCAAAACGAAGAGTTAGGGGTAATCTACACACATATGGGCATGTCTACACTGGGGAGTTATTTTGAAATAATTTCCCTTATTTCGAAATAACAAGGCAAGCATGTGAAATCAAAGTTAGTTTAACCATTAATTTTATTGGGACTTGGGATAATAGATGAGATTAAAATATCAATCTTATACACACTTTTAAAAAGGCATCCTTCACATGGAGAAAAAGCAGAATAATTTTCAGGCAGCTGCTTATACCTAGATAGATAGAGCACTGCTAGAATTCTCAGGTAACAATATGGTGGCCTTATAGAAACATATTTTAGAGTTGCCAAAAGACAGATTGTTTATATGGTGATTAATTTAGTGTGAGGCTATTTAATCTTTAGTGACCATCTTACCTCCAACTGTATGTAGGTACATGAGGGCTACAGTAGAGGTGCTTTTTATCTTTTATAACAGGTGACAAGCAGTTGAGTAGAAAGAGTTAACCAAAGCACAAAATGCAGGTGACTCAAAAGTTCCCTAGGGGTATGTGGTTAATCTTAATAATACTACATGCAGCCCTTTGCCTGTGTCCTGCCCCCACATGCAGAAGTCAACAAATTTTCAGCTATGGTACTTTGCCTGAAATGTTAACTAATTTTCATAGGTGCTTGAATTGTCTTAATTAAAGTGGCATTTGGGAGACCTTGGAGTTTCTATTATTACTATTTTTCTTTCTGTATAACACCTATAAATCCATTTCATATTCATTACTTGCCTCAGTACAAGCTTCTACCTGTCGGTCAAAGATTCTAAATCTTTTTTGTTTATATCCTAGCTATTTCATCCTAAATTATTCTCATTTGCATAGTCTGACTTTTTGCTCTATGTCTGTGTCTTGGCTGCTTTTATTATCTCAGGGCTGACTTTGGGGCACTTTTAAAGATGTCTGTAAAGCCTGAAAAATTAATTAAAAACAAAGCCTCAAGAATCCTTTCACCTTTTCCATATTTAATACATAATAAGAGACCAGGGAGGGATTTTACCACATAATTTGTATTTTACAGACCAAGATAGAGACACACACATACATTGTGCCAGGTCACTCCAGAAGAATACGCTGGTCATCCTTTAAAAATTCCCCATCTTTGCCTGAGGCCTAGTCTACATATAGCCTTTGGATCAATATAAGGATTTCATGAGGGATGTGATTTCCTACAAAATGGTATAATCCCTGTGTGAATATATTTGTTATACAGTACTGGTATAATCCTGTCTATCCTAGTATAGCTATTCCCATTAGAGAAGGGGGATATGTTATACTGGTATAAGCACTTTGAGGCTGCTATAATTGTATCTACACAAGATGCTATAAAGGTAAAACTGTTTTGGTTAAAAAAAATCATGTCACTCAGACTATGTCTAGACTGCAGGCTTCTTTTAGAAGAAGCTTTTCTGAAAGAGATCTTCTGAAAAAACTTCTTCCAAAAGAGAGCATCCACACTGCCAAAGCTCATCAAAAAAGCAATCTGCTTTTGTGAAAGATAGGTTCCACACTGAATGGACGTTATATCGCATTGAAGCTGTGATTACTATGGACAGAGTGGTCACCAGGGCACCTGTACTTTTTTGTCTTTCCTCTTCTTTTGAAAGAACTCCCTCTTCCTCATCCATACATCCCTTTTTCCAAAAGAGCTCTTCGGAAAAAGGCTTCTTCCTCGTAGAAAGAGGATTACCAATGTGGAAAAAACCCCTCAGTTCTTTTGATTTTCTTTTGAAAGAACATGATTACACTGTGGACATAAGTGAAGTTTTTTTTGGAAAAGCGGCTGTTTTTCGTAAAAAAATTCTGTAGTGTACACATAGCTTCACTGAAATACCCTTACTTGTAGAGTTTTGAATGTATACAAGCCCCTTGATAACTAAATTACATTAGGGTAGAAATAGAATAATTTCCCTATACTTCAAATATAGGAATATCTGAGAAATACTTTAAATACTGAAATGATGTTTATTTCATTATCCATAGTAACCTACACACTCCTGTTCCTGTTATTGCTGCATAGGACATAGATTTAGGAGGCTTGAATGGCATGTTTTCTCAAAAGTTTGTCAACAGCTACAATACAAAAATTAGAATATAATTTTAAATTGGGTTCATAGCTCAATAGACAAGAAAGCCAAACCTCACATTCAGCAAAGGCTGAGCACCAGTCCCAGTGTAGGACGTGACTTCTAGAGCCCAGGACCCTCCTCTGTGAATGCTCAGTCCCCAGATGCTTAAATCCAGCTGATCTTGAGTGCAGTAACAGTACATGCAAGGACAAGAGAGGTGTCCCTCCTAGGCAGTTGGAGTTGGGGTAACGGAAGGCTAGTTACATGGAGCATATTGGATGCTACATACAAAACACCAGAAAAGTTCTTCTGCTCCAGTTTTATTTATTTATTTCTTAAGCCATCAATGGAACTTAAGCCCCTGTTTAAGTGTTTTGTTGATTCGGGTCCTATATGTAAAAAAGGATAAGGATGCTAGTAGGTGGAGGTGCCTTTGGGGAGTTAGTTCATTCTGAACTACTCCACATTTTGATTGGCTAGGGCAACACCATCTGTATTCCTGTGTCTTTGTATTGGATGTCTGATAGCAGCTATTTTCCAGGCACTCAGCTCAAGCTGCATGATCATCTCTGGTAGCTGATTGAATTACAAGCCTTTTTATTTAGCAGGGGTAAATAACGTAGTTAGAACCATTCATTCAAACAACATGTAGTTAGAACCATTCATTCACATTTAGTCTCACAGGAGAGGGAGGAGGTTCAGTGTGATTTCAATGCTGCAGGGGACAGACTGCAGGGAATATAAATATAGGCAGGTGACACACATGCTTCTACATCTAAATCTTCCCTCTGAATAGACTAAATAATTTGGCAACAGGCGGATTGATTCACACACCTGCCTGTGCTTTGCCTGGGGCTAAACTCCGGCAAGTGAGAGAATAGGGGCAGAGTAATGGGAAGCCCACGGGAGCTGTAAAAATAGAGGAAAGGTCCCAAGGGATGAGTTTTGCTGAAGCTTTTAGCAGCACAATCAGATGAGTGAACTGTGAGGCTGAATGCTAATGCGGGCTTCTTAAGAGACTGGCGCAGTTGAATAACTCCCTGCTCTAGCTGGGTCTGTGGAATGATAAGGACAAAGCTGGAGGTCCTAAATGGTTGCCAGGTAGTCTGTTTCTGGCTTTTGCAGAGGGTTTTAGCTAGAGATGGGCCAGGCACTCACAGCTGGGCTCTATACTCGCACAAAGTGCAAGGGTGTTAGGATCGCTCTCCCCTCCCCCTTTCTTATGTTGTTGGATGCTTCACTCTCTTGCTGGCCTAGTCTACATGGCTGGCCTCGTCTCTCCCTTCCAGCCCCAAGGACTGTGGCTCTTTTATCTCTGCAACTCATCTTTCCTGGCTCTCTTCCTCCCTCCTTTCCCAGAGTCCGTCTCTTCTGTCTCTTCCCAGGCCCCCATGTAGCTCTGTCTTTCCTTATGTAGATAAACCTCACCTGAATGAGGAGACCTGTATCGAAAGTCCTCTTTGGTCAGGAGCAAGAGTGCTTTTCCATTCATCTCAAAAGTGTTGCTGTCAATCGGCCTCAGGGAAAACTCCTTCTCTGCCCATTTCAGCCACTGGGCCACATCATCCCTGCTCCAGTAAACTGGCTGCAAGCCTGTGGGAGACAAAACCACAGTGGTCATGTTAAGAAACTGGAACAAAGAGCAAGCGGTTCTGGGAAAGGACTTGTGGATCATGAGCTGCATTTGGAGGCACGTCTTGAGATTGGCCTGGGGGAGCTATACAAAGTGATGTTTGCGCCCCAACACCTTACTGTAAAAAGCTCTATTAATCAGCAGGTGTCTGCCTCTTTACCAAACAAGACACACAACCACAGTTTTCAGCTGGTGGATGGATAGAGATTGTGGTCACGGGAAGTGAACTCTGCTCTGCTGGTTCGCCAGATTCAGATATACAGTTTTTGTACCAGTATGTAGTTGTGTATGTGTGATGTTTAAGAATACTCGGGTCCTTCAGGGCAGAAGTTAGGACAGGGGCTTGGAGATGTGTGTGGGGAGGTGAGGGAGTCAGGGTTGGAGGAGAGGAGGGGCTCAAAGCATGGGGTGGAGGTGCAGGAGTTAGGGCAGGGGGTTGAGAGGAAAGGGGGCACAAGGGAAGGGGTGAGGAGCTCAGGGGACGGAGTGGGGGTGGCCACCAGCTTCTCCCCTGGGCTAGCATGGGAAAGGGGGACCACGCGCCCTTCCCACTGGCTTCTCCACAGGGCCAGCCCAGGGAAGGGGGGCCATGCAGTGTCAGGAAGCTGCTTTCTGGTGGGGGCCATACTGCTGGCCAGCGGCTGCTCACTGGTGCTTGCTGCCCCCCCCAGTGGTCATGCATGAGCATAACTGTCCCTGCTCTCACGCCCCTCTTTCCATTTGATGTGAAACAATCACATTTGATGCACATCCCATTATTCTGGCACAACCAAACCCGATGTTGCTTTAAGTTATGATCACAGGAAGCTGCCTACTACATTTGGTAGCCCTCGCTCTTACCATCTTGAAGGTATTCTTGAATAAGCTGACAGACAGACAGACAGACGGACGGACGGACAGATGCACATTTCTAAAACATATACAGCCTCTCCACAAGTTACAGACTAGTTACGGACCAAACACTTGGCTGTAACTCGAAGTGTTCATAACTCGGACCCCATTGAGTTACATGGCGCTGTTTGTTAGTGCAGATCGCGTTCGTAACTTGGGGACCGCATTTACAACCGCTTCAGTCGCAAATGCAAACAGTCGTAACTCAATCATTCGCAACTTGGGATTGGCCGTAGTAATAATTATACCAGAACAACCTCTAGTTTAGAAATACTATAGTTTTGTCCTCATTCCTACACAGAAATAACCTGTATTGAAAAGCTAAAAATTGTGTTCCACCCCATCAGAAGTTGGTCCAATAAATGATATTACCTCACCACCCTTGTCTCTCTCATATTCTGGATAAATGATATTACCTCACCACCCTTGTCTCGCTCATATTCTGGAACCAACATTGAATCATAGAATCATAGAATACTATGGAAACACTGCAGATTATACTGCTATAAGCACATTTGTACCAATTTAACTGTGCCCTTAACGTTTGTGTATAGACCAGACTTAATTTTGGTTGGGGTGCTTGATCTTGTTATCAGTGAAATCAAAGTTAGTTTAACCATTAATTTTATTGGGACTTGGGATAATAGATGAGATTAAAATATCAATCTTATACACACTTTTAAAAAGGCATCCTTCACATGGAGAAAAAGCAGAATAATTTTCAGGCAGCTGCTTATACCTAGATAGATAGGCAGGCAGATTATCTCTTATCCACTGGGAGATAAAAGCTTCCTTTCCTTTTCCCCTTATGAAATGACTCATTGTTTGACTTGTTACAGTGCGTAATGTAGAGAGGAAAGCTTCACGCTGTGCACAGGAACATAAAATTTACCCTGTCTGATCAGATCTTTGATACATAGCTCCCGGCAATAGTTAAATCTTATGCTTCAGAACAAGATGAACCACCCTTCCTTATATTGCACCTGGCTGATTGTATGCTGTTGCGCATGGGAAGATGTTTCCTTCCTGGCACACTGTTCCATGAGACTGATTACCCCAATCTTTGCAAGCATAACTACTCATCTCTTACTTGTTTTTTTTTTAATGATATGCAGCGTTTTGACCAGTGTTAAAAAAAAAAAAAAGTCACGGGAAGTGAAGTATGCTCTGCTGGTTCGCCAGATTCAGATTTCCAAAGCAGCTCATTGGAAAGCCCCGGCACCACATTACACATAGAACTGATTCTGAGTTGGGGGGGAATTGAGAGTGAACTTTTGGAGCATCACATGAGAGCATAATTGACTCCTGAAAGGAACAAGATACAGCTGAGCTGAACTCCAGTATACCAGTAGAAAGATCCCACATCTAGTTTTCCTTCATTTGCAATGAACCCCTTAGCATTGCATTAGGAGCCACTTTCAAAACAAAGAATCACATCTAATTCTTGCTGCAAGAGGACCTACACTCTCTACCCCTCCCTCAAATTAGTCCTTGGTTTGAGTGGGACCACTGAGGGGTGTGTTTTCTGAGCACGCGTAGGGGAAGCTCTATGCAAAGAGATGTGCACCGTGGTCTCAAAAGTGTTGAGACACATGCCCATCTTCCTTCCTGGTAGAAGAAATTCCATAACCCAAGGTCCTCCCAGTGTAAACAATCTGTTTCCAGACCCAAGAGTTTCGCCCTGAGCACTGCCTGCTTCAGAACTGTGTCAATCGTTGCTCTCGTGTTGGTTGCATATGGAAGGTGAGGTGAGATCTATTAAAGCACAGATGTAACACATAAAGAGCTTGAGAAAAATTAAAGGGCCTTGAAATACCCGCAAGTGACTTCCCACACAAATACTGATGGTAACAAACGCGCTAGAGAATATCCCGCAATGTTTCTTTGCCTTGAAATACCCGCAAGTGACTTCCCACTCAAATACTGATGGTAACAAACGTGCTAGAGAATATCCCCCAATGTTTCTTTAAATTTCCTGTCAGCCTCTCCCAGAGCAACCACTTCATTGATGAAACACCTGTATATTTTTTATAAATTCAAATGATAATTAAACTATGATGTCCACAAATGTCTTTTCCAACAAAAATTAATTTGGGCTACTGGAAGTCAGGGAGAGTCAGCAAGCTAAGGTCAAGAACAGTGATGGCACAGCTGTAGGGCCTCCTATGCAATTCTATCAGTGCTTCTCTATGGAACTGCAGCCCTGCTATGCTAGTCTTTGTGCCTCTACCACTGGCAAGCCTACTCATCTCAAATGTGGGCAATAACACTCCTTTGACTCCCAGTGCTGCCTCCTCTCAGTTCCCTACTCTAAAGATCCTGAGGCCTGACATGGAGCACTCCCTGCTGTTTTACTTCTGGACCCACGTTCAGTCCTGTCAAAGCACCCGAATCCTGACCTGGAAGAGTTCTAAGCCTCTTCTGAACAAAGGCTTCCAACGGCACCAGTTAGTGTGGAGGTTTTGGGGCATGGAGAATGGGACTATCAAGATGATTTTGTCTTATTCTGTCATTTGAACCAGTCTCTCCAGTGGTGATAGGCTAGTGAAGTAACCTTTTACATCCCTAAAGCCTACTTCAGCTGTTATCATCTGGGTAGCTACTCAAGTACAAGCAAATCTCTGCATTTTGATCTTTGTCATTGGATTTTGGTACCATGGAAATCCAACTAGAGTTTTGATTAGAAATCCAAACGATGAAGCAAGGCTCACAACTTCCCAACTGTATTACATCTTCTGCTGTGGCTATGATTACACTACAGAGGGGGTTTTTTCCCAGAAAAACGGCTGTTTTTCTGAAAAAACTTCACTTACATCCACACTGGAATTGTGTTCTTTCAACAAAAAATCAAAAGAACAGTGGGGTTTTTCCGATATTGGTAAATTTCTTTCTATGAGGAAGAAGCCGTTTTCCGAAAGAGCTCTTTTGGAAAAGGTGTGTGTGGATAGGGAAGAAGAAGTTCTTTCGAAAGAAGAGAAAAGAGGAAAAAGCACAGGTGCCCTGATGGCCACTCTGTCCATAGTAATAACAGCTTAAATGCAAGATAGTGTCCACTGGATGGACACTATCTTTTGAAAAAGCAGATTGCTTTTTCGTTGCGCTTTTGCCTCTTCTTTTGGAAGAAGTTTTTCGGAAGATCTCTTCCAGAAAATCTTCTTCCGAAAGAAGCCTGAAGTCTAGACATAGCCTAAGAGATTGTGGCTTTTGTAAAAAATACAAGATCTTCTCCATATTGTGGCACGCCAGAAAGACAATCTCATGTGATCAGCACAATTTGTAGTTTATAGCACATTCCTGTACAGAGTATATCACAAACAATAAAAGTAATTTTCTTTCAAGGGCCAGATCCCAAAAGCTGGTCTGTGAATGTTTTCCGTTTAATGTGGTCTGTACGATTAAGTATTTCTGTGACAGACACACACCTGTGTGAGGTGAGTCAGTGATGAACCCAGTTCACTGCTCTCGGATAGATCAGAACAAACCATGCTTAGCATCATATTGACCACGGATGTTCAGACACAGAAACATTTCATAATGTATGATTCTCTTCAAGCTACTCCTATCTCTGACAATGAATCACTTTGCCTTTCTAATTCAACTTCCTCATTGGTAAAATGTGGTAATAATATTTACGTCCTGCCCCTGGGGGTGGTAGGAGAATTAATGTCTCTCTGTTGTGTTTTGAGTATATAAAGTGCTGTCAGAGACAACAAAACAGATTAACCACTTCTCCACCTCGATCTCCTCCTCCCTTCTCGTCCCTCCCTCACTTTCCTGTGGAACGATTTGCTTCAAAGCACTCTGTCCACTGCATGACAGTCCCTTTGCAATGCTGAATCAATTCAGTCCAGGGAGGCTTTTTGTGGAGGCGAAAACATAGCAATGTGAGTAAGTGTGAGGCAGGCTAACGTCACTGAAAGAGCGGCTGGTACCTCACGGAAAGCTCCATTCAGAAAGAGCTGCCCCGGAGAGTATCATATATTTTCTGTAATTCTTTTCTTCTTCTTTTTTCATATTGAAATTGATCATTTGATGAAAAAAAATGGTATCAAAAGGATGGCTGTGCAGC